CAGGGTCTCAGAAGCACTCCCTATGGACAACCCATAGCCACCATATTTTCTTAAGATCCAGAGAAGGCAACAGAAACCACTGAATAAAGACAAAACCAGATATCAATATCTAGAATTATAATTATCCCAAACCCAGATGCCTAGATGCCAATGTAAAAACACAACCAATAACATCCAAGATAATATGTCTCTATGAGGGGCCAGCAAGCCTACAAGAGTTGGCTCCAAGAAATGTAATTACGTGCAGCACAAGGACTTCAAAATTGTTATAATGAATAAAATAAAGCAAATCAAAGGTTATCTGAATAAATCCACTAATGAAATCTATGAAAACAAAAACAGTGGGATGAAATGAAGATAACAGTACAAAACATGAATGTGGAAATGGAATCAATATAGAAAACCCAAACTAAGTTAAAACTGGAAAAGAAAAATTTAGTAACTTAAACAGGAACCTCAAAGGCAAGCCTCACCAACAGAATACAAGAGATGGAAGAGAGAATCTCAGGCATTGAAGACAAGATAGAAGAATTGGATACTTTGGTAAAAGAAAATGTTAAATTAAAAAAACTCCAGGCACAACACATCCAAGAAATCTGGGATACTGTGAAAAGACCAAATCTATGGATAATAGGAATAGAGGAAGGAAAAAAATACCCAGGTCAGAAGCACAGAAAATATTTTCAACAAAGTCATAAAAGAAAACTTCCCTAATCTAAAGAAGGAACTGCCTATCAAGGTGCAAGAAGCATACAAAGACCAAATAGAATAAACCAGAAAAGAAATTCCCCAAAACATAACAATCAAAATACTAAACATATAAAAAAAGAAAGAATATTAAAGCTACAAGGGGAAAAGACCAACTAGCATGTAAAGAGCTATTAGACTAGCCCCTGACTTTTCACTAGAGACTCTAAAGGCCAGAAGGGCCTGGACAGATGTTCTATAGACTCTAAGGGACCACAGACACCAACCCAGACTATTAAGCTCAGCAAAACTGTCAACCACAATAGATGAAAAAAGAAAGACATTCCATGATAAAAAAAAAAAAACAAAGTCAAGCCCCAGAGAAAACTTCAACCTGAAGAAATTAACCACACCCAAGAAGACATAAAGAATAAATAATCCCATACCAGCAAATCAAAGAAGGGAGGAAAAAGCCCTACACCCCAACAATAAAATAACAGGAATCCACAAACCCTGCTCATTGATAATTCTTATCACCAATGGTCTCACTTCAACAATGAAAAGACACAGACTAACAGATTGGATTAAAAAACAGGATCCATCCTTCTGCTGCATCCAAGAAATACACCTTAACATCAAGGACAGACACCATGTCAGGGCAAAAGGACAGAAAATGCAAACAGACCCAACAACCAAGATGGTGTATCCACTTTAATATCTAACTTCAAACCAAAACTGATCAGAAGAGATAGAGGACACTACATACTCATCAAAGGAAAAAGCCATCATGAGAATATTGCAATTCTAAACATCTGTGCACCAAACACAGAGCACCCATGCTCATAAAAGAAATTCCACTACAGCTAAAATCACATAGTGACCCTCACATAGTGACAGTGGGTGACTTCAATACCCCACTCATGCCATCCAGGTCATCCAGACAAAAACTAAACAGAGAAATGCCGTAGCTAACTCATGTCATAAACCAAATGAACCTAACAGATATTTGCAGAACATTCCACCTAAACACAAAAGAATATACCTTCTTCTCAGCACCTCATGGAACTTTCTATGAAAGTGACCACATACTTGGATACAAATCAAGTCTAAACAGATGCAATAACTCCCTGTGTCCTGTCAGCTTGAATAACCATGTATTAAAGCTGGGTATCAACAACAGAAAGTTTACAAACTCATGGGATTGAACAACTCAGTACTGAACGAGAAATGGGCCAAGAAAGAAATTTAAAACTTTCTAGAATTGAATGAAAATGAAAACACAACATATCCAGACATATGGGACACAATGAATGTGGGTCTATGAGGATGTTCATAGCACTAAGTGCCTACATTAGAAATTTTGAGCAATCCCAAGTTAGTTACTTAACAGAATACCTGAACACTCTAGAACAAAGAAGAAATCACGCCAAAATGGAATACATAGCAAGAAATAATCAAATAATAAAATATATAGCAAAAATATTCAAATAAAAACAAACAAAAAATACAGAGAATCAATGAAACTAAGTTAGTTCTTTGAGAAAAACCAGTAAGATTGATAAACCCTTAGCCCAAACCCCTTAGTTTGTGTTTTTTAATTATTGTGATGAAACACTATTCCTGAAAGCAAATTGGGAAGGAAAGGGTTTAGTTAAATTACACTTCCCCATCCATTATTGAAAGAAGTCAGGACAGGAATTCAACAGGGCAGAAATCTGGAGGCAAGAACTGATGCAGAGGCCATGGAGGGGTGCTGCTTACTAGCTTGCTCCATGTGGCCTGCTTAGCCTGATTTCTTGTAGAACCCAGGACCACCAGTCCAGGGATGGCACCACCCACACCATGGGCTGGGCCCTCCCCCGTCAATCACTAATTAAGAAAATGTTCTGCAGTCTTGCCTACAGCTGGGTCTTATAAAGGCATTTTTTCTTGATTGAGGCTACCTCCTCTCTGATGACTCTAGCTTGTATCAAGTTGACATAAAACTAGCCAAGACCTTACCTAAAAGACAGAGAGAGAAAATCCAAATTAACAAAATCAGAGATGAAAAAGAGTACATAACAACAAATACCAAGAAATTCCAGAGAGAGAATCCTAAGGACAGACTTTAAAAACCTGTACTCCTCCAAACTGGAAAATCTAAAAGAAATGGATAATTTCTCAGTACATGCCACCTACCAAAATTAAATCAAAATCAGATAAGCAATTTAAACAGACCCCTAATGAAGTAGAAGCAGTAATTAAAAGTCTACCAAACAAAAAAGCCCAGGGACAGAAGGTTTCAGTGCAGAATTCTAGCAGACTTTCAAAGAAGAATGAATACTAATGCTGTTGTAGAATATTATTTTAAGGTGTGTTACTTTTGCTTATATTGCATTTGTTTAACTCTGTGAAACTGTGATACTGTGCCTGTCTAAAACACCTGATGGTCTAATAAAGGACTGAACAGCCAATATAACAAGTCAGGAGAAAGGACAGTCGGGGCTGGCAGGCAGAGAGAATAGAAAGAGGAGAAATCTAGGAGGAGAAAAAGAGATGGAGGAGTGAAAGGAAATAGCAGCTGGAGAAGGAGGAGGACAGCTACATAGCCAGACAGACAGACAGACAGACAGACAGCCAACTACACAGCAAGCCACGGAGAAAGTGTAAGATTTACAGAAGTAAGAGAACAGGAAATGCCCAGAGGCAAAAGGTAGATGGGATAAATTTAAGTTAAGAAAAGCTGGCAAGAAACTAAGCCAAGCTAAAGCCGAGCATTCATAAGTTAAGAATAAGCCTCTGCTGGGCAGAGGTGGTGCCCGCCTTTAATCCCAGCATTTATGAGGCAGAGGCAGGAGGATCTCTGTGAGTTTGAAGCCAGCCTGGGCTACAGCGTGAGTTCCAGGAAAGGCGCAAAGCTACACAGAGAAACCCTGTCTCGAAAAACCAGAAGAAAAAAAAAAAAGAATAAACATCCAAATGTGATTTATTTGGGAGCTGGGTGGCGGACCCCCCAAAAAGAGCCAAAAAAACAAACAACAACAAATACTCCTCAAATTATTCCACAAAATAGACACAGAAGTAACATTGTTCTGCCTTCCCATCCCACATCCCTATTTCTGCTTAAACCTTGAACTCCAGGTATTCGCCCTCTACTTTCGTATCACGTGTGCTTTACTATTCCCTCACCGTTTCAGCCCTACCCTGGACCCCCACATGCCACGGTCTCTTTTTAGCTTCCTGTCCTTTACAAACACTACAAGTAAAACATAATAATAGAAAAATCCAAAGTCAACATCCACATACGTGAGAGAACATGCTGTGGATGTATATCTGGTTCTGGCTTACCCACATAGTATATTTTCAGTTGAATTTTTTTTCTTGCAAATTTCACTTTTCCTTAAAGCTGAATAAATTGGCATTGTGTATATGCACCGCATTTTCAGTACCCATTAGTTGATAGACATCTAGGCTGATCCCACTTCTTTGCTTGGGTAAATACAGTTGCAATGAACAAGAATGTACAAACACCTCTGTAGAATATGGTGTCTTTTGGATATATACCCAGGAACATAGAGCTGGTCATATGATAGCGCTATTTTTAGGTTTGTTTGTTTGTTTATTTGTTTGTTTTCGAGGAATCTCTGCATTGATTCCCACAGTGGCTATACCAATTTATAACCCCACCACTCCCAAATGACTAATAACATTGAATGAACACTTCTAAAAGTATTTACTAGCCAGTTTTATTTCCTGTTTAGTTTTGTGACACAGTTCTGATTGGACTGTTTTTTTCTTTTTTTGACCTTATTGCAGAAAACACTACACACTGAGGTTACAGAACATAGAGAAATCAATCTGGAAGTGACCTGAAAACATCCTTCCTGCTGATGTATCCCGCATAGTGCTGTCCAGGCTGCTGGGGGCTAAAGTCATCAATGGAACTGCCCAGGATGACCCCTCCCTGCTGCAGTACTGACCTTTATGCCGCCACCTGTCCAAGTGTCCCCAAAGCAGTGCTGTTCTTGCTTCCAAGGCCTCAAAGAACTGAATAGATCCATTTTCATTTATTTATTTATTTACTTGTTGTTTCTTATTTATAGATCTTTACACTAAATTTCAGATAATTATTATATCTGTCCTTTCATATATATATATGCATTTCATAGATGACTTTATGGTATGTGTGCGTGTGTGCACAGTAGATGTACATTTTCACATGGTTAGTGCTTAAATGTGTATGTGTGTACATGTATGCATGCATATATATGCATGTGCACATGCAGGCCAGAGGCCCATGTTGGGTGTTCTCTCGCTCTCTTGCCACCTTTGAAACTAAGATGGAATACGTTGTGAATTAGTGTGTCAGCCTTGCTCAGGAGCCATGCTGATCTTCCCTGTGTCATTCCAATTTTAGTATAAACTGCTGAAGCAAGGCTTGGTTTTTGAGAAAGGATCTCTACTGAACCCTAATCAGCTGCGGTCGATTGGGTGGCCAGTGAGCTCCAGGGATCAGCCTACCTCTGTCCCCACAGAGAGAGGGTAAGAAAAGCGTATCTCCCCACTCAGTTTTTGTGTGGATGCTGGGGAATCTAAACTCGGGTCCTATGTGTGTACAGCAGGCACTTTATAAAATCCCCCAGGCCCCTCATAATGATGTACATAACTAATATCAGCTTTTTAAAGTGCCTGGTATTGAAAGCACTTAGTTTATAAGTTAAATGGATTAGCTAGAACTGAATGAGTGGTAAGTTATTGAAGTCAGTCCCAGGCCACATTGCCATGGCCTCCATGGGCACATGATTGGATCAAAATTGATCTCGTCTTTTGGTTCTTCACACTAGAGTCCCATACACAGCTACTTCAATAGGACGATCTTGCGGCATCTCTCTACATTCAAATTTTAGCTTACAGATTCTCTTCCCATATCTCCAGGTCAAATTTCCAAGAAAGATTCTGGTTGGTCAAATCAATTATCATTGTTCTTCTACAGATGTTTGTGTCAGGACATTGAATGGGGTAACTGATTTCCCTTGGGACGGCAAAGAACACAAGGTAGTATCACGTGGTATCAGTAAGAATCCATGCACTAGTTCCCTCCATAAGGTGTCTGTGAGAATGGCCAACAGGCATGCTCAAGCAGGATATCCTTCTACTGGGAAGTAAGAATTTCTGCTCATATTAGCTTTCAGGAGATTAATTGCTAGGTATACAATAAATTCTCAAATGTTATTTTTAACTCTATGTCTTAAAAAAGTAAGTCTCTCCCCGCCCCCTGCCCTTTTTTGAAATTATAATATAATTACATCATTTATCCCTTCCCTTTCCTCCCTTCAAACCCTCCCAGGTACCCCTCCTCCCTTTCTTTCTAGTTCATGTCCCTCTTATTAATTGTTGTAAAATGCACATATATATGCACACATATTTCTAAATATAATTTGCTCAGTCTGTATAATGTTACTCACGCAAATGTTTCAGGGCTGACCATTTGATGCTAGACATCCAATTGGTGTGCTCTTCCCTGGGAAAGGCTGTTTCTCTGTCTATCAGCATTCTTTAGTTGGCTGTAGTTCTTTGTGTAGGGTTGAGGCCTCACGAGTTTTCCCCCATTCATGTCTGTTAGTGTTGTTCTTGTTCACTTCATGTTTCGGCATTCATGTTGGCGAGACTTTCAGCTATGATGCGTAAGAACCACAACAAAAACCAGTATGGCAGGATAACCATAAAGGTGCAATAGTGATACACATACCTTGGTGGTAAACAGCAGCTCTCTAATTGGACTTAAGACCCACTTCACAGGAAGGAAATCATGCCTGGTACAAGAAATCAAACCAACTACTCAAGGCTAGTGAGGTCATGGATCTTTGAGGAGAACTTATAATCACTCACATTCTTTAAATGGCATTTAAGTCCACTGTTTCCATTCTTGTGTTGATGCAAACTAAAACTCTCACCTCAAAGTGCAGAATAAGATTATTAATTTTTGAAATAAATAAGAGCGACCATGACCCAGGAACACAGATTTAAGCTATCACAAATAACATATTCAAACATGGAAACAATTTCAAGAAATTCATGTAACTACAGTTACAGGACAAAATAAAGCCACAAATCTAGGCATTTTTTTTTTCAGACACATTAGTTGAAACATCAGTTAGGCAGTTCACTGCAAAGTGGAGAGATTCCCTATAGAGTCACAGGTACTGTCTGGTGAGATATTTGGCATTGGGGTTGGTGGAAGCCAGCGGTCGGCTGTTAATATATTACAAAGGGTTTCCCATATATAGTTGCAAGGATGTTAGGTCAGATGTGGATCTGAGAATGAAAAGCTAGCAAGAAAGCTAAAACTAGTCAAGATAATCTGGCTCTGTTAGCATTCCAACTCTCCATCAGCCAGTCTGCCTTGTAGAATCGTTGTAGGGGAAAGGGACACAAATTCATGTGTGTGCTGGTACACAGTACCCGTAGAGGCCAGAGGACAACCTTGAAATTCATTCACTGGCCACCATCCATCTTCCTTCCCTCCTTCCTTTCTTTTTTCTTTTTTCTTTCTTTCTTATTTGTCTGTCTATCTATCTATCTATCTATCTATCTATCTATCTATCTATCTATCTATCTATCTATCTATTTTTTGGGAAAAGTTTTCTCATTGGGCCAGAACTCATGAAGAGGGCTAGGCCATCTGGCAGAGTAGTCCCAGGGAATGTGTCTGTCTCCAACACTCTAGCACTGGGATGAGAAGTGCACATCAGCACACCTAGTTTTAAAAAGGGGGTGGGGGATTGAACACAGGGGCTATGGAGCTATCTCCTCTGATTCCCAACTGTGTAGACTCTTTAACATGAGTGTGGCTATTTTCTGAGAATTTGGTTCACTTCTATCCATTAGTTTTTCCTTGAACTCATCATGGTGCTAACATTTGTTGCATGTTGTGCCTGGCACTTTTCCTACGGTGTCACATGACTTGATACATTCACCCTCATGACACAAAATACTATTGTTATTCATGTTCAGCCATAAGAAAACCGAGGCACAAAGATCTTAGATAATTTACATGGGATTCATAAGTTGAGTAGGAATTGAAACTCAGGTAAGACAGCTTTCAAGCACCAGATTTTAACCCTAACCCATAACATCTTTCAAATATTAGTTAATGTCACTAACATTCTAATAATAAGTAATGCATGTGAATGGCCATTACATGCTGTTGGGACTTCAAACATAATACCCCAAAGTATAGTGCCCTGACATGCAGTACTTTGAGAAGGCCTCAGCAGCAAGCTCTGTCCTGCTCTCTGTTTTCTCTCTCCAGTTCCCACTTGGGTCACAAAAAGTAGAACTTCTACCCAATGAGATGGGTAGTCTAACTGAGAATTCCTCTCTCCAAGGTAGCCATGAAACCTAGAGGGACTCTTTTCTATTCCTCTGCTTTTCTGTGGGAAGTGTGGTCATAAATGAATTTTTTGACCTACATACTCAAAAGGCTCCAATTCCAGAGGAGTCCCTTCTTCCCCTGGCTCTTGGAATCAAGAAGAATTTGAGGATTTGCTGCCTTCCTACTTGCGTTTGGTCCTGTCAGGTCCCCATCTTTCTATCCAGTCCTATTTCTCTATGATCCTTCACGCCTCACGTCAGACATTTCCACAGCTCACTGGGTCGCTCTTTCTGACACTTGTTACTTAACACGTTGTGTAAAATAGGCTTACGCTTTTGTCTTCAGGATCTTTTTTTTTTTTTTCCTTAATAGAGGTTATTGGCGAGGAACTTTGGCAATGCCTGAGAAATTTTTTTTTCTTTCATGATATCAAACAATGAGGTAGAGGACTATAGACATATTTCCTTCATGGTCTGTCCCCTTGTGATGAATACGCATCTGCATCAGAACTGTGGCCAGAAGCAAAGCTGTAACCTTCCCCCTCAGCACTGCCGTGGCTGGGCCCCACAGCGCTTTGACACAGTCTAACTTTGTGACTCAATGAAGTAGACTTGTCATTTTCACTGGGATTCCGTCCACCTCTGTCCTTGGTACACTGCTTCAGTTGTAGACACGGGAATGTCTAGTTTACTTGCTTCCAGTGCAGTCATTATGGCCAGTGCACAAACCAGCATAGTGTACAGGATTTGAACGTGTCGAGCTTTTGCTTTCTGGACCGACATATTTGGTTTTAGTTTATGTTCCCTGTTCATCAGACTTTCTGTCTTTCCAAGCACTCCAAAGAGCTGGCTGTGGTTTAGAGCTCACTAGGTATGCCAACCACACTTAAGGGCAGGTCTTATGCCCAACACTAGTTGGCCAACACAAAACTAACTATGGTATGTTGGTGTTGAGATATATATATATATATATATATATATATATATATATATATATATATAATATTGCTTTGTTCAGGCATTTTTTATCCTACTGGTCTTTTGGTTGTATTTGTATTTGCTGATTTGGGGTTTTTATGGGTTTTGTTTGTGTTTGTATGTGTGTGTATCTTTCTGTATGTCTGTTTCTTGTCCTTTTTCCTAGTTTGTTTGTTTGTTTGTTTTCCTTCATTCTGTTGTTGGTTTTGTAGGTTTTTTTGCTTGTTTGTTTTCTAAAGAGAAAAGTAGGCATGGAGTTCAAAGAGTGAGGAGGTGTGGATGATCTGGGAGGAGATGGGGCTGGAGAAACTGTGATCAGAATATATTGTGTGAAAAAAAATTATTTTCAGTTTTAAAAAGTATCATGGTTATTTTACAAAAGAAAGAAATCAAAGTTAGTTTGGACTAAAATCCAATTTTTTGGATTTCATGATTGGTGATATCAAGAATGAGTCTCTTCCCCCATCAATAAACTTTCCCACCAATAAAATATTTATGGTCTTTTAACATATGTATTTAAATCATGGTCTTCTCCTCAACCCAAAGGTAATTACCAAAGGTGACTCTCACTCAGTGACTGACCCTGAAGACCTGACCAAATTTCTTACCTCTTCTAAGAGTACTTTAAAGACAAGTTTCAAGTTTAACCTTGCCATTATAAAATAATTCCTGTTTATCACTGTACCAGTGTTTGTGTATATGGGTAGATATTTATATGAATTGCTATGAGATGCATCTTGTTCTAAATAAGACCTTAAATTGTTAATGAAGTTAACATACAATAAAACAATGTGCCTAGTTGTGAAAGAAAGAAAGAAAGAAAGAAAGAAAGAAAGAAAGAAAGAAAGAAAGAAAGAAAGAAAGAAAGAAAAGAACACCTCAGAGGTGTGCATCTGTGTGCATCTCTCCAATAATACACCATGCAGCAGTAAGTTACCTCAATTGATTTTCCTTTCTGCTACTCTCTTCTTGATATTCAAAATGTAGTAAATATTACTTCTAATGAAATACAGAAAAGGAGACCCCCTTGGATTCGCCCATACTTCTAATTTTTCACCTGCAGCTAAGGGAAGCAGAGCTGGCCAGGCAAGGGGCGGGCCAGGTAGGTTGGGGCTAGGGGCGGGACGGCTAGAAGAAGGTGGGTGAGGATGAGGGGGAGAGCAGGATAGGAAGGCGGGATTACAGGCCGGCCAAAGAAGGTTGGAGCTAGGGGCGGACTAGCGAGCCAAGAGGGCGGGCCTAGGGGCGGGCCGGGTAGAAGGTTGAGGGTAGGGGCAGGCCTGGAAGGAGGGCGGAGCTAGGGGCGGGCCTGGGATGAGGGCGGGGTTAGGGGCGGG